ATTTGCTTTTGCATTAGTTGAGAGACCGGCTCTCTATGACTTCCAATCATCGATCCCCCTATTTTGGGTGAAAATACCGGACCGGAATTTTAAGAGTTTGCAGACTGTAGCAAATAAAACTTCTGTAGCATTGATCACATCGCGAAAACTAGTAGGCTCGAATGAGCTCAGTTTCAGTCTGCAGTTGTCCATGGTTCCGATCAGACGCTATGTCGGCTTGGTGGTTTCACCAGCCTTCCTAAATTTGCTTCAAATTCTACGTACCTTTGCAGTTATGACGACAAGTACTCTCTTTCGGCCGAATTCTGTAAGGAGTCGCGATCTGGTCAGGGAAAAATCACAAAATCAATTGGAGCCTATATAAATGAGAATGGAGAGGTGAGTTTGCAAGCTTCCTGTAACATTTTTCTACTCTCTTCACTGTTCTATCGTCATCTTTGAAGGTCCTCATTCCTTTGCTGAAGAAAGAAGTCGATCAGCTGTACGAGAACTTGCTCAAGGGCGAGCAGTAAACTTCTTCTAACTCTATGCATATTTTTCGGTGTTATTTGACTAATTTTCGCGGTTGTCTTTATCGTATTTAAATTGTGTCCTCGTGTTTTTCGGGAACTCCTCGACTGGGAATAATTCTGTGCAGTCAACCAGCACACCAGGTTGACTTGTTTTTTTTTCGTTAATGTATTTTTCTTCTTTGTGTGATATCTATTAATAAAGTGTGCTATATTTTGTTAGGCAAGACTGTTGGGATTTATTTAGAATCTCAGTGCTCAGATGAATATGTGAACGATCCATAGCACGCTATCTCTTACATTTTGAAGAAGTGTGTAGTAAGGTTGTGAGGGTTATTGTCGGAAATTGCGGCGGGCTAGCCCGCTATGGCACCTGGTGTAAGGCTTCACCCTGTGTGTTACCAAGTTTTGTACTGGTTTCTGGAATTGCAGCTACATGCGATGGAAAAGATGGTTGTGAGCTAGTGGAGAAAGTGACGGTGAGTCTGGCGGAGAGTTATGAGGAGGGGAGGGTGACGGTGGCTCTGGATGAGGGTTGTGAGGAAGGGATAGGCGTTGAGTTGGATAGGATAGTAGTGAGTTTCGGGAAGAATGCAAGCCCTGGGGATCAAGGGAAAACAGACATTACAAAATGACAGGGATAAATGAGAGTCTGGAGTGGTATAAAGATGTGGTGCTAGAGAGAGTTTGGTGTGCTGAAGGAGGGACCATGGAGGAATTGCGCGAAAAAATTCGCCGGTGGTGCACTTAGTGGTGGTGGGGGGGGGAGGACACAGCGCTATATGGACTGAGATAAGGGCGAAACTTTGGGGAAAAGCATTGCTGCGACATCCCTCCTAACTCCATTACTCGCCACCCAGTGCTTAGTTCTAGAGAATGGGCATTCTGAAGTGAGCTTTTGGGGGTCGTGCTCACACCGCACGCCTCCTTCCACTAGGACTATACCGCCGCTTTCTGAAAATTCTTGCCATTTCCGACATGTTGAAGGTTTCGAACGACCCATTCATTTCTTAAATTTTATGGAGAATAATCATTTGTTTATGAGTGATTTTGAAAATGATATCATTCCAAGTATTTAATCCATGCAGCTCCTCACTCGATGTCAGAAATGGGCAATCTCATCAGCAGTGACGACGAACTACCTCCAAGGCTTAATGGTACCAAAGAAGGGTAAGTCGACCAGTTTTTGACATTTCTATAGCTTTCGTCCTACTACCGTTCTCTTCAGTACTTTCGTATTCTTCACGATTGCTGAGCGATGGCCCAAGACTATAGCAAAAACAGTGGACCACTTTCACCGTAAGCGGCGGGATTTGATAGATCAATATGGACCGGTGAGAAATTTTCTTCTTACTATTTAGGCGATTAGGCATAATGTAGTCAACATGAAAATTCGCAAGGAAGTTCCAAGCACAGGGAGAATCTGAATCCTGCATCACAAAATTGCTGCTTTTCGTTCATTTCGCTGTAACTTACAAGAAAAGGTACTGACAGTGTCAACCTAAAGCTGGCCATATGGCCCGTGAGCTGTAGTTCCATGCTTCCGAAATTCGGCTGCCCTCTTGCCTCTATGTTCACATTCGGGCCCCACCAACTGATTACCGATGTCATTAGGCTAGCCACCATATTTCGAACCGCCTCATCCGATCGTTCGTGTAAAAATGGGTAATGTTATCGAAGAATTAGCATAGTGTTATCATGACCACGCAAAATCAATGCCTATTTCAAAGTGCAGAGTCAATGAGGTGGTGGGGGTCGGGCTGTATTGTAAGAGCTGCTTTGGCATAATTGCATCGTGTAGTTGTTGGTTGATAATCGTTCTTGTTAAAGGAAGCAGATGCAGATGTGAAAGCAGTCATCGGAGAATTGTCGGAGCTTCGTTATCGTATCTCGACCGATAAACAATTAGAAGACATCAGTGACACGTCATATAGCTACGAGATGTGGAATAATTTGCTGGCACGGATGAGAGCTGAGGTCAGAAATTTAGAATTGTCTTCATTCATTGTACTCACCTGCAGTTTTCCAGTATGGTGCGGATGAGGTGACGTGGTTCAAATGCGATTGGTTGTTCGCGGAATGCTATTTGTACAGAAGAATCGTTGGTTGTACAGCGAAGACCAAATATTTGAAGAGTTTTGACTTCTTCATGGAACAAAAAGTTGAAGGATTCAATAGCCAGTAAGATTGTTTTTATTGAAGCATGCTGCTGCATTCAATCAGTGTTTTTGTTCAGCTTAGAACAAATCCGAGATGGTATCAAGTATGTATTTGCTGTTGCTGATAATTTGTCCATACAGCAGGAACGTGAGACGTTGGAGGTTTTATTAAAGGTGAGCTAGGTAACGTTCGCGAAGATAAAGTTTTGTGCTACGGCTCTTTCAAGGCTCTAACTCTTGAATTTAATTCGTTAACAGACGCAGTTTACCAAATGTCTTCCTGACGCTGGTGCACTTGAGGAGGCACCACTATGCAGAGCCCACACACCCATCACCCCTCCTCTGTCCTAGAGGAGAAGATATATGAGCAATTTGCACTTTCTTAGAAGTTCTCCCCTTTTCTTATCCTTCGCATAATGACCTCCCTTACATTAGCGCCGTTTTTTGAACAAAGCTTCGTTCTTTCGTGCTAATCAAACTGGTCGTTAGTCATCTTTCTACAACTAAATTGGCGAACGAAAAGCGAAGTGTTTCAGATGTGCTTATGGGGAAACCGTTGCGATTTATCGTTGTCTTGTGGTGATGCAACAAAACTTGTAAGTAGCACATTTCAGAGTTTGTTTTATGCCGATCTCTATTTTATTGTTCCAGCCAATTTAAATAGTGAAAAATTAACTTTCCAGACTCAGTCTCCAATAGAAAGTGCTCGATCCTTGGATTCCTACATTTTATGCAATGATCTTGGAGCAGCTATTGAAAAGTTTTTCCTGAAACTCAAGTGAGTGGATTAGCATCTCAATATGACCAAAAATAGTGGCAGGAGAAAAGTGTTGAAATAGTTGTAATGTCGAGGAAGCACGAAGGTATCGCACGTATTGACACAGTTCTTAAGGTGTAAGTTAGCGTTTGAATTAGACTCTACAGACTTGATCCCCTTGAGAAAATGCGGCAGATTTGATGCTGTGACGTGTATCACCCTTACCGTTCTCATAGTCCTGGGATCAATTTCCAGATTGCAATCAGCTCCGCCTTTTACTCTTCGGGGTTGATAGTTCGGTAAAAGTAAGAACAGAGAGAAAGCACATCAGATAGCGCCATAAGTCATTGTATAGGCCAAATGGCATTCAAATCCTGTTACGGTTCCAAATAGAAGTGAAATGCGTGGCTTATATAAAGAGTGTTAGTCAAAGGCGAGTAATTCTCTTCGTATAGGCGTCACAAGCCAAATTGGATAGGATTGCCCCGAAGAATCGAGAACTGGGTGCTGCTGTTCAGTGAATGGAAGAAGGGGTACGGGTTAGAGAATAAAATGTCTAGCTACAGAAACCTTAATGATCACGTCTTACTTTTCGGGGCTGTAAGGTCTCAAGAGTTTTTAATCACTCTCAGTAGGCTTTCCTTCTAGGAGTCTTCGATATTTTAATTTTTTTCAACTTTATACGAAGCGCCAACTTCGGTTGACCACGGCTTTGGGTCAATTTGTAGTTCTATTGGTTGTGTTTTGTCTATTTGGATCAAAGCGCTGACGTTGGCGTAGGTCAACCCTACGGGTGACCTCTCTAATCAAGAACTCATTCGAATCCTTAACCAAGCACCATCGTGTGGCGCATCGCAGAGGAACTACTCAATACTGGCAATTTCCGGATACTGCCGTTTTTTCCTTCTACAGACCTTCTTTCAGACCGAATAAAGCGGGATCAAGGCAGTTCCACATTGTACTCGATAATGCAGGCCCTGAACTTATGGGAGATCTCCTTTTCGCCGAGTATCTCATGCAAACGAAACTAGTCGATAAAACAGTACTACATGGGAAGGTATGGTGTATGGTGTAACTATGTATCCTTTCAGATTATTTCAATTTAAATTGGTACATTTTTAGGAATATCCTTACTTTGTCTCTGACGTAACAGGAGGTGATTTCGAGTGGACAATGGCTGAGTTGAAAAAACGCGGAGATGTATTCAAAACTATGTATGACAAGTTGTCTACAAGGCTGAAGAAGGCGAGTTAGTAATTCGTATACACGATGTGTGCGTAACATAGTTTGTGAATACAGTCTCCGCGTTTTCAAAACTCAGGCATTGTCCATTCAAAATCACCTCCTGTTACGTCAGAGACAAAGTAAGGATATTCCTGAAAATGTATAAATTTAAATTGATATAATCTGAAAGGATACATAGTTACACCATACCTTCCCATGTAGTACTGTTGTTATCGACCAGTTTTTTTGTGTTTGCATGAGATACTCGGCAAAGAGGAGATCTCCCATAAGTTCAGGGCCAGCATTATCGAGTACAATGTGGAACTGCCTTGATCCCGCCTTATTCGGTCTGAAAGGTCTGTTAAAGGAAAAAAGAGACAGTATCCAAAAGTTGTCAGCACTGAATGGTTCCTTTGCGATATGCACTTGATAGGGCCTTAAAAATGGAGGCGCTTACGACAAAGGGGAAGGCGCATCGGTGGAGTACGTGCGCCACAAGAAGCAGTAGTTTGGCTGTCTAACGAGCGAGGTGTGGCCTTTCATGACCAAGAGCGCTGATTGCTGAGCAGCCACTTGAAAACCGCTCCGCCGTATTCAAACACTAATTTTGTTGGTGATTTGGGCGAGTTGTGTTGCCAGCAGCGGCAAGAAAGAGCAGCACGACTGAAGACACGGATTTCTTTACTTTTTCGCCATTGGCGTACCATTGAGGCTTT